TTCCAACTCCTACAGACTATTGCAACAAGGCAAGTGATTCACCTACTTGTGTTCAAATCATATTCCACCATGGCTTGTACCAAACAGGCCCAGACAATTAACTCCCAATTCACTTGAAATATGTGTCTTGGGGTATTGAGCAAGGTCAAATAGTATATTTCCTAAGGTGCAAAAACAAGTTATTTGTATTCCATGAATAACCTACTTCCCCTATAAGTGGTACCTTGATTAATCCCCATGTATCACCAAGCAAGACATTATCAGGTTTAATCAAAGTCCTGCTTCACAAAACAGCATGACCAGGATGTTTGCAGGAAGAAAGAAGTCCCCACTAAAGGTGCCGCAGACCCTTTTAGAAATATCCCTGCCTACTGTATATGCTGTAATAAGGAAATAACACAATCTCCATACCCCATTTCAGGGGTTATTGCAAACTACGTTCTGTAAATGGCATGTGCAAAAGTTTGTTTATCTTACTTGTATTTTTAGGTGTATATAAGCTATAAAAACACCAGAGTTTCCTGTTATTTAACATCCACTATCATGCTGCATCTAAACTGAACCTGCTCCTTGTTTAGGGGCATCAGAGAGGCGTGGTGTGAGCAACTGTCTCCAGTGTAGAGCAGGACGCTGGTCAAAAAGAGCAAGTAAACCACTAAATTAATGCAAAAAAAAGAAAATGAGTTAGCTTTCAACAAGCTCTAACACAGCTAGTATTCATATTTCTGAACATAAATGTTAATCTTTTGCTCTTAATAATGTTTTTTGGTACCATTCTCACGTGTATTTCTTTGCATGCTGCTGTGTGGAAGGCCAAAAGGCATTTCTACTGACTGACATCACAATTTCAAAGCCCATTGCATCAGTGGGCCAATCCAATGAAAGTTACATGACATACTGTAAGCCACTAACATGTACTGTACAAGCTGGTAGGATGGTTCCTGTAAATGATTGCTTGTTTCTTATCTTATCAACCGTGCAGAGACTAGATGTATCTTCATGCAGAAGAAACAGGCAGTGCAACAAACTAATGGTACTACACTTAGATTATGTTGCTTGTGTTACAAAAACAGCCGGAATTGGGAGGACATAACAGATCATATACTGTATCTATAATCAGTGAGCATTTGATACTGCTGTTAGTCAGGATATTATCAAAGGACATGTTGTAGATGCCAACTATTTGTTTAGGGTCTCCCTCATACAATGCTCTGCTGGGCTGTAATCATGTGTATCAGCAGAGGGTTTCAAATAGGAATGGAATAATCCCAGAAGTTATTTTGGTCAGAGGTTTTCAACCCATGTAGTTGTAGAATGACTAATTTATTTTATTTTAAGCACAGTTAAATAAAACCATCACTCATGTGATAGTGAACTTCCTGAGAAAAAAATAACTATCTCTGCTGCTGGTCAAAGAGAAAAATCAATGGGATCTAATTTCCTTCAGAACAGCAGATTTGTAAACTCAGCTGATAAAGTTTGTTAGATGAAAATACATTTATATACTCACAGACCAATTTAGTTTATTTCCCTGTCATGGGGCCTCTGTCACAACACTTCCTGTAGGTACCATCCAGAGGAAGTCTGGCATCTGCTAGTGCTGCAATAATTAATTTTTGGGCAGAAAACACACACGCTAAACCAGAGTTCATGGCAAAGGACAGGATATTTTGACAAAGGTTCAAACAAGGCCACCCTGGGATTTTCACAATGAATGTGAAAGAATGGATGTCAAAAGGTGGAGTAAAGCATAATTGTGACAAACAACTTTGACTTTTATGCATTCATTTGTCATGAATGTCACCGCTGTTGATCTTCAGAAAACTTATTAGCAACACATTTGATAAGAGATCATAATTAAGCTCAATAAAAACTGTAATACATTCTCTGTTTCCTGCCTCTTAAACATGGAACATGAGCGATTAAAATGTTTATAAGAGATCTTTAATGTTAAAAAAAACAGTCAACAGATTAACCAACAATGAAAATGATCGAAGGCTTCAGCTTTATGACCATCACAAGGAATCTGTTAGCCGTACATATCCAACAATGATACACTAATCTGACTTTGATATCGCAGTCACATAGTGCCACCCCAGTTTTGTAGCTTCTGGGCAAAGGCCCTGTTGAGGTCCCACAGATAAAGTGGAACAAGGAAAATGTCTGTGTGAGCGCTGGGTGTCTGTCAAAGCAGGAACTTGGAGGCGTTCTCCGTTGACCTCTGAGGGCAAGGACTTCCCAAAGCCCCTCTGCAAAACAACAGCAGACCCGGCAGCTGACAGTGGGACACACCATGTCCGCCTTAAAAACTCACTGCCTCCCACCCACCTCTCTTCCTCTGTACCATCCACAAGGGCAAGATGGTAAAGCCCGTAGAAACTGGCAGATCCAGAGAGCTGTAGCTGCAGCTATCACCTTGCCGATATGATCCGTGTGGAATGTGGCAATGCTTTAATGTATGTGAACAGACACGTTTTGTGATGTCAGATACAACAACGGCAAATGGGAGGGTCTAGCCACTGATCCCGACCTGAGAACAGGAATTAATTTGTTTACAGAATGACACGCAGCATGTTGAGCAGGCAAATTACTATTCATACGTGCTTGATATTGTGCATATGTCGTCATTGGATGTTAGGTAAGGTTAAATGTGAGCATTCGTTTGTTTATAACAGGTCAAGTATTTTTGATCATTATATTGATCAAGCAGCGACTACAAATAAAATAGGAAATAGTTTGTAGGAGACATTTTGAAGCATATGATCTGAATGCTGAGTGATGTGTAAAATAACCACGACAGAACTGTGTAAGAGGCATTAGGTAAGTGCTGGATTAGTCAGTTGTTTTCATGTTCCTTTTGATTATTCTGGACATTGTTCAACAAAAGCAACCAGGCCACTCCCACCTGCCCATAAAACACGGCCCACCTCTGAAGCCTCCATCAGCCCCTGAGACGAGATAAACTTCAACCAAGTGAATCATTTAGCAGCGCTGGGACATTAGAGCGCGACTGTTTTCCTTGTGAAGATGCAGCGTGTGTGAAAGGGGCTACACACGTCTGCTATGCCGTGTCACATGTTTAGGGGAGGCATGGAGAGTTTACACTCGTCTAGTGATGTTTGTCCAGCAAAGAGCTGATGTAGAAAGAGTGAGTCACTGCTGAGAGTTAATAGCTTTGGTAAATAAATTAGCAAACATTTAACCAAGACTAGTTATACTTGTTACTAAGCATAGCATGTTTTCTCATGTCTTCACCCACAGAGGCATTGAGGCTTCAACTGCCATAAGTGTTTTCTCGCTGATTTTGCATATCATTTGCATGCCTGACCTGTGGTGGTAGTACCAGTTTTGACTCTCTTCTAACCAGGCTTGGGATTCCATGCTGCATATCTGTGTGCCACATTTTTTAGAGACCAATGAGCAATTATTTCAACAACAACCATACTGATTAACAAACACAGGCCTCATCTGGCTTAGGGAGGACTTTTTTGGTAATAAAAAAAAAAGTGGTGGAATATTGACAGGGAAGAACTTGTTAAGGATTAAAACACACACAATTGTAGCAAATAATCTCCCAAAAGAGGCCCAATAGTATGAACTGGAGCATTTAACATTGGAGCTCTGAAACAATACATTCCTTACACCTCCTCAGCTCATTCCAATATAATGACCAATCAAACTTGCTACCAAGTACTCTGAGAAACACAACACACCTTCAGGCTGGAATGTCTGCGGGTATGTGAAAGTAGTATCTGAAAATATCCCTCTGCAATAGGACGTCAACTCTGTCAGATGACAGCAATACTGGTGAGTAAATGGCCCCGATTGTCCATAGCCTGACTTAAGTGGAAGGAATTTCAGATGGACAGATTATTGCATTCACAAGTCTGCCTGTTCTGTACACTCCATCTCATGACACTGTTTTCTGGCTCAAACTGTGTTTGTGTGTGTGCAGTTGTTTATAGGTTATCGCTCAGGGTGAGAAGGGCTGAGAGCTTGCTCTCTTGCCTGAGGAAGGCCATTATTTTAGCACCAATATGCCTTGTGAGCATTTTCTTTCCTTGTTTATACAGTACTGCTATGAACCAGGCACGTTTTTTCCTCTGTACCACTGCAGCTGCCGTTCCATACGGACCACGGTGGCCTCTGTGTAAACATTAGCCAGCTTTAAGTGGAAGACAATGAGGAAATGACAGGACAATGGGGGGGCTACATTTGAAGACATCCAAGGATGGATTTCCAGATGAAACGGAGAGATGACATCATGGCAAAATCAGCTAGTAGGAACATGGAGAGAGAGGCCTGGTAATGCAACACCATACATAAACAGTGGACAGCTGTATTTATAGGAGATTGTCTCATGGTTCTATCTGCCTGCATAAATCCTATTATCTGATTTGTAGCCTTTCCCCTGCCCAACACCCAGCAAGAGATGAGCAGCTTTGGCTTATGAAGCCTTATCAAGACACTCAAGAGCTGTGCAGTTATTACTATTGCTGTGAAATTAGTCGACATTAGATGAAAACTGCACCTCCATGCTTGATTAGACATTACCTCATAATGATCAGACCAAGCCAAATGACAGTTTGTGTGTGTATATGTGTGTCTGATTTAGTGAAAATTATAGACAGCTGCCGGGTATTACACAGGCTTACTACCATGTTGTCACTGGACCTCACAGCGGGGGGCTATGTAAAACCTGGCAACTGCATTTTCATGTTAACACACATTTCTAAATTATATTGGATTGAGGCTGTAGGCCTATTTCAGAAACCAGGATAACATGTTTTGCCTCCCATGGGTCATAAAAGAGAGGAGAGGTCCAGATGGTAGTGGGGTGCACCTGCTACAACTGGGCTCTAAATATTGGAGTTTGACACCACTTGACTCTGATGCAGATATGAACAAAGCAGCAATTTGACTGAGAGGAAACTCGCACACTGCTGTTTCAGCTAAACTCATAAACATAGCAAAACTAAGTGAAAGTAGAGATCACTCACATATCTCCTCAGCTTTTTCTCCGGAGGTGACTTCCTCAGCCAGCCTTGGAAGATGATTTCACCGCCGCTCATATTTGCCAGGGTGTGCTGTCTCTTCTTGCTCTACAACTGCCGTCTGTCACTAGAACATGACGGCTCCTGATCGCTTGTCTGTTCAAAGTGCTGTCGGCGTTTGGCTCTCAGTGCTGGTGCAGTCCGCTCGCTCCATTTGATACAAATCAAAGTAGTGCTGTTCGGGGACGTTGCCAGTCGTTCCTGGTGGAACCTGCGCAACGACCGCCCCGCAAAGCCACACTTGGGGAGGAAAGATAGAAAGGCGCAACTCGACTCTTGGGGATTTACGCACGGCCCAGCTGACGAGGAGCCGCGGGGAAACTCAACTGATGCAGGGTGAGGAAGTATCGTAGAGTGTCTGCAGTTTGTTTTCCCAACTCATACCACGCCCACCGAGCCGAGAGAGGGATGGGCTGCGCTGGGATGAACAGGATGGAAGCACGGCCGGCCACAAAGTAGCTCCAAGATCCCAAAAGGAGTGTAAATAATTGAGGAACCGATCGATTTGTGATATACCATCTTTAAGGTTCACAAAAAACAAATGTTTGTTTTATTTCGAATACGGAAACGAATCTGATTGCACATTATTACATCAAAAGAGTTTTGAATGCCTAACCAAATAGTTAAGTATCAGTAACAGCTAACATATTGTAACGGTGATATGTGTTTGAAACAAAAGGTCAAAGAGTCAGAAGCTGCTGTTATTGTCTGAGTGAATTATTTGATCCACTGGATGGCCTGGGAAAAAGCACCATCTAGTGGAAATACTGTCAGTTGCTTTGGAAAAAAAGTAATATTTTTTTTTATTTGGAAGTTTATGCATGTATAAAAAAGGTACTTACATTTTACTTAACACTTCCCTGATATGTGGTGAAAAATATACTTCATTAAGAATTTCTTATTGTTGGGAAATAATTTACAGTTGATTACAAATTAATTCCATATTAACAGTCATTTCAAATACCAATGGTCATTGTTTTTATATTTCAGGAGCAGATACATTATAAATAAAATAAATAATGATATCTAAATACCAATAAACCAAAAAATAACTATGACAAGCAAGTATAAGTTAAAATCATTTTTATTTGTCGTTAGGCAGACAACCAATCCTGTCATTACAATCTCTACAAGGCTGAAACTGTTTCATAGAACACATGAATGTGAAAACCTAGGGAAGGGGATCACATCTTTGATGTTGTCAACACCGAGGATGCATTGCAAGTATCTCTCAAATCCCATTCCAAATCCACCATGAGGCACGGAGCCAAAACGCCTCAAATCCAGATACCTGCAAATAAATAAAATGTCATTACAGTTCTTTGGTGTGTATGGGTGTTTCTTTTAGAATGTTGTTAATATAAATGTGTTTTTTTTACCAGCTGTAGGTGTCTTCTAATCCAGCCCTGGAAAAAAATACACGTAGGGTTAATGTCAGATGTAATTTAGTTTTCATACAACGTGACATGGGTGGTGAGTCAGGGATAATAAAAAACATATATAGATTATAGTGTCTTTAAGGGCTGTCATGATATCCAAATGATCATGTCCGAGTTGTTGCACAAAAAAATGCTTTACAGCCACTGCAGCACAGAGGCCAGCTAGCAGTGTGACACTACTGGGATAATGCTTGATCTCAATTGAAATACAAATACATTTGACGCAACTATGCGAATATTGGGAATGCCATTGCCATGAGGCTTCTAATAAACCTGGAGTTCATGTACATACTGTTGGAGCCGAGCTCTCAGCAGATCCAGCCTCTCCTCCCTCAGCGAGCCCCCACAGAGCTCTCCAACTCCTGGCACAAGAAGGTCCAATGCAGCTGCCTGCACACAAACAGCAGTCAGCGCAGAAATGCAAATCACTGCGATAACCCAAGGGACAATACAAGGTTGGAACGCAGCGGTTAAATCATTGATTGGCTTTGTGTTTTTCACATCAGAACTACGTCTTACTGTATGCTCAGGATGATCCTGGTTGTCTCTTGCATAAAAAGGCTTGAGATCATAAGGATAATCAGTGACGAACACTGGAATGTTGCCGCAATGTTTCACCAGGTACTTCTCGTGTTCTGTCTGAAGGTCACAGCCCCACTGTGGAAAAGAAGAGCTCAGTGGAATGATAGTATCAAATATACAGATGTAGATATGAAGTATGCTCATCAAGGAGAGCATAATTATGTTGCGCTTACGTCTGTTGGGAAGGCAAAATTCTCAGAGCTGCGGTTTAGGATGTCGATAGCCTCACTGTAGGTAATCCTAAAAGTAGATTTAGATACTGTTGATTAAATGCCTTAGACTTTATTCTTTAGCTGATATAACTTCCATGTTTAAAATAACAAAGACTTACGTGGGGAATCTGTTTTTCAGCATAGCTTCTACAATTTCCTGTAATTGAGATTATAATACAGTGAGATGCAGTTGTGTCTGGTTGGTATAAGGAGCTAGGTTATGTAGCCAAGTTCAATAAGTGTCCTTCAGGACTCACCCTGTGTCCAGGAGTCACATGCTTGTGAAACAAATCCACATCCTCAGCGCAGTGAGCAAAGACATGCTCCGTGGCAGATCTGAACATGCCCTCCATGACCTGTGAGCGGGGCCGGTTTAATAATTAAAGCATTTCTGAATAACTGCGCATAAGGGCAACTTTAAAAGTCACAAAAGGCAAGTGTAAAGTTTAAACTTCAGCAGACGTAAATGGATGTGGTGTGACATAGGTTCACGTCATCCAAAATCCTCATGTTTAAGCATTAGCCAGTCTGTGACGACTATGATTCATAAAAAAGTCACGGGAAAGAGTAAAGGTTACTTCTCTCCTTCATAAAAGTGGTCCCCCCCCTTTCAGATAAAATAAGATGACGCATTATAAAACTTTGCCCAAAACAAATATCAATGCAGTTCAAATCCAAGGAGTTTATTTTTTATAACATGCTTGATTGAATAGAAAAAATGTGCTTTTGGAAAGGAAAGAAATCACTCTGTTGTACGCACCGCAATATGTAAAGTGAAAAACAGATAACACAGAGCAAAGTATTTGAGGACCGTGACAGTGTACCTTGGTGAGATCCTCTAAGGACTGAGCGAAGGAGACCTCGGCCTCCACCATGTAAAACTCAGCCAGGTGCCGTCTGCTCTGGGAGTTCTCAGCACGAAAAGTTGGCCCAAATGTGTAAACCTTAGAAAAAGCCCTGGAAAAAATATAAGTGACATGGCATAATTAGAAAAGCTCTTCAGTGCTAAAGTGTATCTCTTACTTTCTGAGGTGGAACGTACAAGCAGGTGGATGTGATCACCAGACGATAAATCCATATCGTTTATCTCACCCTGACATCAGTTCCAAGTGAAGCTGACCAGACACAGTGAGGAAGGCTGGGACAGAGAAGAAGTGCTCTTCTTCTTCATAGCCTGAGGGCTAGGAATCAAATCAGAGGATTTTGATGTTTAAACAATATCATTAATACTTATGTTCACATCAGGGCTTTGATTCACAATTGCACACTGGAGGTGACAACACATACGATATAAGACTAATAGGATACACAGAAAGCTAAATTACAGACATGTTCATAATATTTCATTATTCATAAAATAATATTTCACACTAAAAATTACCATTTGAGTAAATATCAATTAACCCATGTCACTTTTAAATCTCGAATAAATCTCACTACTTCCCCAAACAAATGCATTTTCACAAAAGAATAATAAATTCACTTCATACTTGCACAAACGAGAAGCATGCTTGGACAAATGTAAGACATTTGATGTGAAAGTGCTTTAAATAATTCGGACTTTGAGAAAATACTCCTAATTTCTATAAATCATAGATGCCTGCCCAAGTGTTTTTATTCTTGCGAGAAAATTAAAAAAACATTTTTTTTTAATTCAGGGTCACACAGGGTGAGGAATTGATACACACTTTTACTTTAAAAACATTTAAAACACATCTAGTAGATACTAACCTCAATTTTGAAGAGCTCCCCTGCCCCTTCACAGTCATTTGAGGTGATGACTGGAGTGTGAATCTGCAAAAAGCCATTTTCCTGGAAAACAAAATATATACAAATAAACACATGCAGTCTTACTGCGTTCTATTAAAAACTCATCCACTGATGGTCTCACCTTGAAATACAAGTGAACAGCTGTAGTGGCCTCACTTCGTATTCTCAACAGGGAGCTAAAGGCATTTGTTCTACACCTGAGATGAGGAAACTGTCGAATATACTCAAGGCCGTGTCGTTCTTTGATTTTGAATGGAAACTCCTGAAGCAAAAAGACAAAGCAACACAATGCTGTTACATTTCCTTTACAATGAACAGATAGTTATAACATAGATTAAGTTTAATTTCAAGCTAGCACATTAAGCCATCAAAGTGTGTGTGTGGTATTTAAGAAAACTTACCAAAGGGTTGCATTCTCCTACGATACGAATTTGCTCTGCTTCCAGTTCAACTGGCTGTTTTTGGTTTGGGCTTTTCTTAAGAGTACCGGTGACTTCAACAGCACTTCCAAATGTGAGCAACCTTTGTATTAGGAGAAGAAAATGGAAGATTATAATTGTATAACTGCACCCTATATACCTGAAACTACATTGTCAATGATTAAGTAAAGGAAGTAAAACTGAAGGGCTTACGGATCATTCAGCTCTGAACTGGCGACGACCTGCAGTGATTGCAAAGAGCTTCCATCGTTCACATGCAGGAAGAGATGTGACTTCTGAGCTCTAACAGAGCGAACCCATCCCTACAAGTAAAACAAATAAAGAATAACCAGTGCATTCTGGTAATACAGAAGAAAATAAATTTTTGTTTGCAAGTTAAATTCATAAACCCTAATGTTGGTTATTTCATATTTTTACCCCTAATATTTCTCAACTTAATGTCAACTACATGTATAATGTGATATCAATATGCAGTTATACTAGAAGTGTCCTTTGTCATAGTTTAGACACTAGCTAGAATTCCAGTGAATTTTTAAAAGCATATATTTTACTGGACGGTTGTTTAGCATATACATGCAGTTTTTAGTACGTTATGTACGTTTAGAGTTATGTGTATCCTTGAATTATTAGCAAATAAAACTGCAAGCTTTTTAAGTTATTGAAAGGATTAGGCTATTGTATAACTATTTTAACACACAATATTGGGCGCATGAGATATTGCTTTTTTCTTTCTTTCATATTAAATTATAGCCCTATGTGCTTAAACACTTATTGTAGTATTATGTATCTAACAAAACAATTACCAGAGGAGCAACATTTGGTATTTGAACCCGCACACACATGCAGTGTAAAAACTATGTTTTATATGGAGGACATTTTGAATAACGCAAAGTCTTTCCCAAATTTTCAAAAATTCTGACTTTGACTCCATATCCTTTCACCAAGTATATCAATAACATAACACTTAAGAAAAATCACAATACATGTTGTGATATGTTCTGTAATACACATTTGCGAGAAATTGCTTAGTAAATAAATGTAACTAAATAATATAAAGAACATTAAGGTTTATTATAAGGTAATATGTATTAAATTCAGTGAAAATTCATGATAATAAAGTC